CATGCCCGCCCGCGCTCCCGAAGGCTCACACACCCGGCTTCTTCTGGCTCAGCCGCTCGGCTCCCCGGGGAGGCCTGGGCTGTGCTGTTGGGGATGGGGTCGGGGCGAGGCGGTGTTTGTAGGGGAATGTCAGACGAAGAGACCTCCGAAGATTTCGTGCTCGTTTCCCCCGGCCCTCGGCCTCTGGGCGCTGAAAGGCAGTCACCCACCGCAGCCCTTGCAGCCCTGTCTACAGCGCCTCGGGCCTGGGGGCAGTGAGTGAGGGGTGGGTGTTGCTGAAACCATCCCCAACGGCTCCAACGTTCGCTGAGGAGAGCCCGGCCAACTCCTTCCCCCGTGGCCGGAACTGGGTGCGCTCGTACACCCCTGGTTTTTGCCCACCTTTCGGGAGGGTCTGAGTCCGAGTTGGCCTAAGCGGCGGTTGGACGGGCTGGGACCGTTGGGAAGGGGGTTTAACTGCCTTTCCTACTGTTTAAGAATCTTCTCCCCACTCTCTTCCCCCACCCCCACTCCTAAGTGGAGGAAGACCCCTTCCCACCCCTTTCTCCCTTAAGCTTGCTCTTTGTAATGCGATTTTGAGTTGTAGGGATTCTGTTTGTAATCCTTATGTTTTGGAAAGCTGTTTTCAGGGAGATCCCTGAAAATAAGGCTTCTTATCCTAACTCTTCCCTGCCCCAAATTAAAACATGGACACCTACTTTAGTTTTTCTTAAGCAAGTTTGAAAAGGGAGATGAACTATATGCTTCAGAAAATAACTAGCCAGCGAATATGAGGGAAATGTTTGAAAATAGATCCATTTCTTACAGCGAAGTGGGCAAGGTTGATTCTTGCTGCTTAAGGGAAGTACGTTTCTCTTAGTGCAAAGAGGCCTGCAGAAGTTATAACAGGGCTGGTTAGAGCCAAGGTTTTAATTCTTGAATAATAGGTCATGTTTCACACTGTAGTAATGTGGCTTTATGTCACATGCTAGAAGGGGTGAATATGAATATCGCACATTTGCATTAATGGGATTTTATTCAGAAATTGGGTAACTTGACTAAGTTGTTAGTAACCAAAATGTGGGGAGTCAGATTCCTGGGAGGTGTCCTCCATGTTGGTATTGTGGTATACCAGGGCTGGGGTAAATCCTTTATCTTGCTTTCTTGTTCTTTGCCTTTTAGAGGGCCCTTTTCCTGAAAAGATAGTGTTGCTCTGGTTAGGCTTGGCTACCCATTTCCTCATCTTGGCTAGAATATTAATGGTAATCTTTGCAAAATGTGTGATCGAATTGCCTTTTCCCCCCTCTGAATGTCAGACAGACATGATGGCCACCATTTTGTATTGAGAGTACTACATAGTACAGCCTGAGGAAAGGGGTTAAAGAGGCACCAATAATCTACAAATACAACCAGTGCTGTTTTGGAGACCTCCTTTGTGTGGAGGGGGCTTGCTTCCTCCTTTGTTTAACAAACTCCTATGCCAAATGGAAAGAGTTTGAGAGTATTTGTTGTTGATATAACCACAAAAAGGGAAATCTTTCCAGAAGTTGTAGCTCTTGAAGAGGGGTCTTGTTGGAACAAAGGCTTCTTAAGAGATGTAAACAGTCTTTGTTTTAGAAACTGTTTTGTTTTTAGGAAAGCTAACTGTGAACAAGTGGTTTCATATAGTTGATATGTAGCAACAAAAAAACACTTCAAGAGGTGTGAAATATTTTCCATGGTCATATATGTAATGTCTGTATTTCTGGATGATTTTTGTTCACTGAGTTTTTGGAGCACAAATGGTTATATTAGAAGGGGAACTGGGACTATTGATATTTTACTTGTTAGAAGGTAAGGAGAAGTATAAAACATCTCTGTCTCCTTTTGTTCTTACCTTTGTATCTTTACCAATGGTACTTAATATAGCTTCAGTTTATAGCTGCTTTCTCAGTGAGACTCCCAAAACTGCTTGGCTTCTGAAAACCTTAGAGTGCTTATATTATTTTGTATATGGCAGCTTAGGGGTTCTCAGAAATTTGAAAATATACTAAGATAAATGTGAGAAAACGTAATTAAGTCAAGAAGATTATACTTCAATTCTGAGTTTGAAGTTTAACAGACACCTTTGTTTCAAATTATATCAACTACATTGGATAACCAGCTTTGTTTTCTGGGCCAAGACCTTAAATTTACAATTAATACGGTTTCTGGTTTTGTCACCTTTAAAATGCAAATTTTAATTTCCTCCTTGATACTGTACTTAGATGTCTAAGGACAAATCATATTTTTCCATATCACTTTGTGGTATTTGGAGATTAATAATTTTAAGGGTGTAACTATTAGGCAGAAAAATAGTTGGCTGTTCAGTAAATACTTTTTTGTCTCCCAAATTTTGATAGGAATATAGTTATGGCTTTAGTAACTTATTTTCTTGCTTTCAGATGTCATGTCTCACATTTGGCCATAGATAGATTCCACAAGTTTCTTTTCTTTTTCTTTTTCGTTTTTTTGAGACGGAGTTTTGCTCTTGTTGCCCAGGCCTGATGTGCAATGGTGCGATCTCGGCTCACTGTAACTTTTCCCTCCCGGGTTCAAATGATTCTCTTGCCTCAGCCTTCGTGAGTAACTGGGATTACAGGCATGTACCACCACGCCCAGCTAATTTTATATGTTTAGTAGAGACAGGGTTTCTCCATGTTAGTCAGGCTGGTCTTGAACTCCTGACCTCAGGTGATCCACCCGCCTTGGTCTCCCAAAGTGCTGGGATTACAGGTGTGAGTCACCGTGCCCGGCCTAGATTCCACAAATTTCTTCTTTGTGTCCAGAGAAGGTTTAAATCAAACCCAAGGGCACAAGAGACAAAATTTTTTTCAGCTTTAACTCCTTGTGGTTACTAGTTTGATTCCTTCATCTTTATAGCCAAGTGTAAAACTGCCCTTAAATGTTTTAATACAGTCAGCATCTTTTTTTTTGAAACGGAGTCTTGCTCTGTGGCGCAGGCTGGAGTGCAGTGGCGCTATCTCGTCTCACTGCAAGCTCCGCCTCCCGGGTTCACGCCATTCTCCTGCCTCAGCCTCCCGAGGAGCTGGGACTACAGGCAGCCGCCACTACGCCCGGCTAATTTTTTGTATTAGTAGAGACGGGGTTTCACCGTGTTAGCCAGGATGGTCCCCATCTCCTGACCTCGTGATCCACCCGCCTTGGCCTCCCAAAGTGCTGGGATTACAGGCGTGAGCCACCGCGCCCGGCCACAGTCAGCATCTTTTATTGAGTGAACCTATTGGTTCCACTCCTAGAGAAGAGGGAGGAACTTACACACTTTGTATGGTAGAAGTGTTAATGATATGGAGCTCATTTACTCCCTTTCCAGCGTATCATTCTCCCTAATTTGGAGTTTGATTAACTTAGACCTAACCCTCTCTGGGTTTTCCCTATTTCTTTGGTGTCACGAAATCTTTCCCTACTTGTGGTATCTTTGGCTACTTTAAGCCTTCAACGTTTGGAGAAGAGGCTTATCAGTGGAAACATCCTTGAGCAAGGGAACAACTTGTAACTACTTAAAAAAAAAACCCTTTTATTGAAATATACCACAGAGTTCACCCATTTATGATGTGCAATTCAGTGGTTTTTGATATTTTCACAGAGTTGTACAACCATCACCACAATCAATTGTAGAACATTTTCATCGCCCTCAAAAGAAACCCTGAACTCACTTGTAACTACTTTTAAAGACAAATTTAGGACTATAATGCCCAGGATAAAAACTTGATAGGAGGTTGGATTAAGTCTTACAGTTCCAGGCCACAAATATCTACCTTTTTTTTTTTGAGATGGAGTTTTACTCCTGTCGCCCAGGCTGGAGTGCTGTGGCGCAACATCTGCCTCCTGGGTTCAAGCGGTTCTCCTGCCTCAGCCTCCTGAGAGCTAGGGTTATAGGCGTGCGCCACCACGCCCGGCTAATTTTGTATTTTTAGTAGAGATGGGGTTTCACCATGTTGGTCAGTCTGGTCTTGAATTCCTGACCTCAGTTGATCTACCCACCTTGGCCTCCCAAAGTGCTGGGATTACAGGAGTGAGCCACCGTACCCAGGCCACAAATGTCTACCTTAAAGCAAAAACAAACTTCATTTATTGTAGTTATTGAATGGGTGTTTAGCTAAATTTGACTTTGCCAGTGGTAAATTGGGCACATTAGTAACCACAAACATATCTACCCAGTTGTAATTCGTAGTGAACTAATAAACAAAACTTGTAGAATTTAAGAGTGTAATGTGAATGATATTGCAAATATGAGTCAGCTAAAGATTTGAGTCCCCACCCCCACTGGAAAAATTTCCTTCCCTTCCTATGATTATAGGGTATGGTTTTAAACATGCAATCTAAACTTTTAAAAGAGTGAAATGAGTAGAGAATTACCTTTGAAAAGCGTTAATATACTTCTCTATTAAAAGCCAGGGCTTGAAATCTCCCTTTTTTTAAAAAAAATCTAACTCTGTCACCCAGGCTGGCATGCAGTGTTGCAATCAGGGCTCACTGCAGCTTCCACTTCTTGGGCTCAAGTGCTCCTCCCTCCTCAGCCTCTAATAAATTGTAGGAATGGGGTTTCTCAGTATGTTGCCCAGGCTTATCTTGAACTCCTGGCTTCAAGCAGTTCTCCCGCTTTGGTCTCCCAAAGTGCTGGGATTACAGGCCTGAGCCAGTGCACCTGGCCTGAATTATTTTGTTGAGACACTGATAAGAAAAGTTAAAAGAAAATTATTAATCCTTAATTTTATTCTTTCTCTGTTTCTAGGGTAATTTTCTTTATGACCTGTTGGCCTAGACTTAGAGTATTGGAGTATGTCAGGTTGATAGATTAGTGAAAAATGTGTTTATTGGTTTACATTTATAAGTGGGTAGAAATCAGCCAGTGGAGGAATTTTCTCTTAGGTAAAAAAATACGGGGTTGAGCGTAGTGGCTCATGTCTGTAATCCCATCACTTTTGGGAGGCCAAGATGGGCATATTGCTTGAGGTCAGGAGTTTGAGATCAGCCTGGCCAACATAGCAAAACTCTGTCTCTACTAAAAATACAAAAATTAGCTGGGCATGGTGGTGGGGGCCTGCAATCTCAGCTACTCGGGTGGCTGAGGCAGGAGAATCGCTTGAACCTGGGAGTCAGAGGTTCCAGTGAGCTGAGATCACTCCATTGCACTCCAACCTGGGCGACAGGCTCAAAAAAGAAAACAAACAAAAAAAAAACCCAAAACAACAACAAAAAAAGGTGTAAACTATTCGATTTAAAAAAATCGAACCCTGTTTAAATACTGTAATGGGACCTTTTCGTAGACTTTTGTAACCTTTCATTGTTGCCTTAATTGAACCCCATTAAGGTTGGCTATAGAAAAGAA